GAGAGAGAGAGAGAGAGAGAGAGAGAGAGAGAGAGAGGGCCAAGCCTCACAAGATTATACCTCCAAGACTTACCACCTATCCAGCGACACCTGACGGATGAGGAGGAGGACAATACTGGTGTCTGTGGGTATATTGACCAGTAGTGTGTGTGTGTGTGTGTGTGTGTGTGTGTGTGTGTGTGTGTGTGTGTGTCTTTCATTTTCCATTTTTTACTAATTCTTTCCCTGTTTCGTTCACTTCACGAGATACACCTCGGTCATCCAATAATTACTAACACTATCACACACACACAGACACACACACACACACACACACACACACACACACACACACACACACCATCCACATATTCACCGGGCCAGCTCACCTGAGGACCCCTAATTAGTATGCGCACTATTTTTAAGGGGTCTCCGCCAGGTAGGAAATAGGTGTTTACATCGACCACTGGTGCAGGGGTTGAGTGACTCAGCTCTTACAGCCGTCTTGACAAACTCCACCAAGATGTAATATTTTATTATTATTATTATTATTATTATTATTATTATTATTATTATTATTATTATTATTATTATTATTATTATTATTATTATTATTTTATTATTATTATTATTATTATTATTATTATTATTATTATTATTATTATTATTATTACGCTAATACTGTTTACACTTCTTCCTCCCCGTTATGTGATCTATACAACCAAAATGTTGCTCCAGTGCAGAAGTGAATGAGTGAAGAGTTAGTTAGTCACGTGGAGACCCGCTCGCTTATCATGAGGTGTGTTACTGTAGGTGGATATGTCTGGTTTAATTACAACCTCCACAACACTGAGCTTATAGAGGTCACGTAAACTTTATTGGGAAGATGTTTAACGAGGGAGTGACTGGTGATGGGGTGGGTGATGGGGTGGGTGATGGGGTGGGTGATGGGGTGGGTGATGGGTGATGGTGGGTGATGGGTGGGTGATGGGGTGGGTGATGTGATGGGGGTGGGGTGATGGAGACGGGTGGGGGGATGGTGATGTGGGTGATGGAGACGGGTGATGGGGGTGGGTGATGGGGGTGGGTGATATATGGAGGGCTGGAGAGGTAAAGAAAAGAACTCAATAGACATATAATATGAACTACAGGATGAGGTTAATGATAGGAATACTATTACTACTTATTATATTAATTTTTGTTGACAATATTATGGCCTCCACGTGGTCTCCAACCTCCCCTCTATAGCCATTCCTTCTCCAAATATTTTATCACCTAACTATCCTGATGCAAAAGTAACTATCCTGTTCGAGTTAGTTAAGCCGCTTATCTAAATAGCATTCGGTGACTGTCGCCTCATAGTATATCAGCCGTTTTCTTAGTCGTTCAGGAGCCACTGTACAGTAGCTCCTCAACAACTAAGAAAACGGCCGTTTGTCTGCGACTGTTGTTGGTTTAGGGGCCGATGATCTTGTTCTCCTGAGACAACTGAACAAACCAGAACAAAGAGAATGACAGATAACATCTTAGCCAAGCCATTACACAACTTCTGGGTTGGTGTTTCTGTTCTGATAACACTTGAGTCATTATGAGGTAGAAGCACTTTGCCCTAGGCCCCATCCCGCGTGATGATGTAAACATCAGAGAGTGAAGCTGCCTTGGTCCACGTTCTGGATTCTCTTACCTCACGTTCTGTTCTTTTTGTTCTCCCTTCTCCTGTGTGCAGCGTCAAGAGTCAGGTTACGGGGATGGAATATCCTTATATTAAAGAAGGCTTGTTGTACCCTCGTCCTTAATCCTCAAGCACTAACGCCCACACCCGCTGCATTAGTTGTGTTGGCAGTCCGGTTAAGGAGGGTCAGTCCTACAGTGACGTCACAGCGTATCTACTTTACCTAATCTATTCGAACTTAACCTAACCTAACCTAACCTAACCTAACCTAACCTAACCTAACCTAACCTAACCTAACCTAACCTAACCTAACCTAACTATTAGAGTGAAGGTTCATATTATGCATCAAAAACTACGAGAAGTGTATAATGCTGTCGGCTGATATGGCTTGATCATTGTCTGTCTGCAGTTTGTTAAGGTGTATTATTATTGTTCTTTCAGCCTGTGGAGATGGATGATACCGAAGAGGACAACAGTAAGTAGTAGATTATTTTTCCTGTGAATCCCTACAGCAAAAATCAATTATATTTCTTGTGATTTAATTAACTGGACACCATAAATCACGTCATTCTTGTAGACAAATACATCATTAACCACGTATCTTTATTACTAGATAATTATTAATAGCCTGGGAAATTGCTAAGTAGAATGTCGTCTAGTTGTCTCCATTACTATAGCCAATATGATGACAGTAACTAATGGTGTGTTCCTCCTGCAGAGAATGAGGATGACTCGGCGACAGAAGAGAGAGAGGACCCGGATGGCAAGGAGACCTCACCCCAGGACACGAACGAGCCAGCTAGGTCCCCGGAGCCTGAAGGAGACGAGCCCGAAGTCAAGGAGATCCACCTCATTTCTACCTTGGAGACCACTTTCTCGAAAGACTCTATCACCCACGACACAGTCCAGGTAGGTCACTAGTGTAGGTGATACAGTCCAGGTAGGTAGGTCACTAGTGTAGGTGATACAGTCCAGGTAGGTCACTAGTGTAGGTGATACAGTCCAGGTAGGTCACTAGTGTAGGTGATACAGTCCAGGTAGGTCACTAGTGTAGGTTGTACAGTCCAGGTAGGTCACTAGTGTAGGTTGTACAGTCCTAATATTACTTAACGTATGCTCTAAAATAATTCCTGGGGTACAGTTGGTATAACATCTCATGATTATAGTAGTTATTAATTATCATCAACGGATAAATGAGTAATAATTATTAATGATCGAAATCTTCTGAATAATATAATAATTTCTCAACTTTTTTTTCAGGAATCCGAATCTCTCGTAATTTAAGAGTGAGAGTGACTAGACTTCCTGATTGACTGGTCCACGAAACTCACTCCAGTCAAACTTTCTACCAGTGTATTGACTTTCATTTCGACATATCTCCAGTCTCCAGTTACTTAATTATCATGTAACTTGTCATTATCCCTATCTTTTCTCTTTGGCGTGCGTATCCCCGTCAGCAGCACGAGTTAGCCTGACGATGACCAAGTGTAGTAGTCACAGTAGAAGATAGTCAGGCTCTCCGTGCAGTTTAGTTGGTCGAGACGAAACTAGATTCAATTTTGTACCGCCTTCACCTTTTGTCGTGGTTACTCTGTTAATAACCATACATCAAGGATAATTGAGCAGTGAGATTTAACAAGACTTTCATAATATTATTGTTTATATGTTTAATAAAAGACAATAGATATGTTTGATGAAGCAGTGACGAATGACAGTCCAACACACACACACACACACACACACACACACACACACACACACACACACACACACACACACACACACACACACTATACCATGTGGGACGCCCTACAGAATAACATAAAGGAAACAACACTAAGAATCTCACACCTTAGATTTAGATTTAGTAAGTATTATGTATAGAGAAAGTTTGTAATTACTGAATATATATATTTTGGTAAGGTATGTGGCTACACTTACGACTGTGAGACGTGAAGGAGGCAGGAGTAGAGGGAACACACACACACACAGTTAAGGAATACTATCAAGGAATATATACTACATCAAAATGGTAAAGGTATAGATGGACTTTATTAATACAACATACTACATGTTATACAACATACAATGGCTGTTGTGGGATGATGTATCACCTTAGGGAGTGATTTTATGGACAGTCAGAGGATAGAAGCAAGTATTGGACCAATGTTGTTACACTAGTTAGCTGTGGCGGCCCTTGTTCACCCTAGACTCTGACCAAGGCAGTGACATGATCATCTCCAGAGAGGTTGTGTGTGTGTGTGACGCTGAGAAATAACATGCTGGGTACAGGAGTTTCATAATGGTCTCTTGTGAGAAGAATAAAAGAGGTACAAATTGTGACACAAGAAGCAGCCAAGAGGGAGAACACCGCGCTGGTGATGATCGCCTCTCACAGGACCGGTAACACAGGCGCCTCCTTGTTAGAGCAGTAGTGATCTTACTCATATATTTTTATATGGTCACACCGTACAACCCTGCGCTACCACGTCTACCTGCCTACATACCTGTCTGGGGGTAATAATGAATTACTGTGAATCAATAAATATATTATGAATATATGTATTATGAATGTATTTATTGATGTATATGTATTCAAATATATATGTAGACATATTGAACTGCTGGCGCAGGATTCTAGAGGTTCTGATATATATTATAAATGTTTGTATATGAAGTACGTATTTATACGAGAGAGGACACGGGAGATAATTATTACCATGGTCATTTGACCTTGAATTACCTTCAGCTGGTTAAGTCAACGATCACTGGGACACCGAGGCTGACCCCAGGAGACCCTCCAGTGAGGAGGGGGTCGGGACCTACTATCGTTCTGCCCCCCTCCCCCCCCCCTCCTCCCCACTGGACACGACTCCTTCCTCGCCCACAGACGAGCTTTTGAGAGGTTATAAAAACCTCCTCCTTGATACTAGAGCCGTGTGTGTGTGTGTGTGTGTGTGTGTGTGTGTGTGTGTGTGTGTGTGTGTGAGGTGATGGGTCAGCCTGGCCGTGTTTCTGATCCTCTCTTGTATATTAATAGTTAATCTCTGTGTCAGAGACCTGTTCCCTCCCTCCCCACCCCTCTCCTTCCTTCTACGATAATACTCCCTCCTTCCTGCCCTCCTTCCCTCCACACCACCGCTCCCATATTTCCCTCCTTCATTGTTTACTCTGTGTACCCGTGGTCACTACCCTGTGTACCCGCAGTCACTACATTGTGTACCCGCGGTCACTACCCTGTGTACCCGTGGTCACTACCCTGTGTACCCGTGGTCACTACCCTGTGTACTCGTGGTCACTACCCTGTGTACCCGTGGTCACTACCCTGTGTACCCGTGGTCACTACCCCCAGTACCCGTGGTCACTACCCCTGTGTACCCGTGGTCACTAAATCTCAGGCACCCGTGGTCACTACCCTGTGTACCCGTGGTCACTACCCTGTGTACCCGTGGTCACCACCCTGTACTCGCGGTCACCACCCCTGTGTACCGCGGTCACCACCCTGTGTACCCGTGGTCACTACCCTGTGTACCCGTGGTCACTACCCTGTGTACCCGTGGTCACTACCCTATGTACCCGTGGTCACTACCCTGTGTACCCGTGGTCACTACCCTGTGTACCCGTGGTCACTACCCTATGTACCCGTGGTCACTACCCTGTGTACCCGTGGTCACTACCCTGTGTACCCGTGGTCACTACATTGTGTACCCGCGGTCACTACCCTGTGTACCCGTGGTCACTACCCTGTGTACTCGCGGTCACTCTTATAATGTGAGCGAAATATCGCCGCAGAATGACTTTTAAGCTGAGTAAAATAAGAACTGCTGAACTTTTGAACTTAACAAATACAAACTTTAAGCTTTAGAACGAGTATAAAGGAAGAAATAATTTTTTAGCATTACAAATGATAAAAGAAAGAAAGAAGATTTGTTTAACTTGACAAATATGAGCTAATTAACTTTGTAACCTAAACAAATAGATGACTTAATACTTTTTAAACTAAGCCGACATAAAATTTGACATTTGTTTTATATTAACGTAGATTCAGAGAGCCAATAGCCCTTTTATACGAGTAGGAACACCAGTAGATGGTGGTAGAGTTAGGTGTTACAGCAGCCAACTCTTGTCTGGCTGAGCTGTGTACCTTACGTTATGACAGCAGCGAGAGGTGACACTTAACACTACCTTAGTCAGTGTGACCAGGCTGGCTGTGTCACTAGCAGAGGCTTGTGAGGGTTTAGTTGTGTGGATGTGTCATGAGAGACTTGTTGTTGAAGGTCATGAGCGATGAAGTAAGAAGGAGTACCGTTAGTCACTTGTGGTGAGATTAACTTAACATTATGTACAGTATATAATAATATCTCTAGTTAACAGAATATTCGACTCTTTGTATATTTTATTCTTATTTTGGCTTTAATGTTAAACTTCTTTTCTTGGTCTCACGAAGCTGATTGTTTTGTTCTTATCGACTACGTGACGTAACTCAGCACACGAGGTTTGTTCATACAGCCACAAATCTAATGAGATTTTCTTTTGTTGTCTTGTGGTACGACCAATATCAACACTCCCACACTATGTATGTTTGTAATCCAAATGTTATTTTTGTATATTCCTGCCCAGGAATAGGTGAAGGGGCCATATATGCTGTGTATAGTGGCCATTATACCGTCCACAATAAATATAGCCTGCAGTTATTCTCTGTCTCTTATTGTCCTGAGAAGTTTACACGTTAATAAACCAATAGACGGTGTCCCCAGGGGCTCTACCAGGGGTGGTGCCCCCAGGAGCCCTACCAGGGACAGCGCCCCCAGGGGGATCCTCAGGGGAACGAGAGCATCGGCCCCAAAGCCTACAACAGCTGCAGATATTGACTATGAGGCAACAGTCACTGAACACCACATAGATCTGTGGCTCAACTAACTCAACACAGCTAGGGTAGCTACTTATGTATTAGGATATTTAATATTAAGGTAATAAAATAGCGGCGATGGTGTGGCTATTGGGGGAGGCTGGAGGCCACGTTAAAAAAGAATATAGTAGTAGTAATATTATTAATAGTAGTAATAGTAGTAACATAGCAGTAGTACCAATATAGTAGCAGTAATAGTAGTAAAATAGGAGTAGTAACAGCAGTAAAATAATAGTAATAGTGGTAATATAGTAGTATTAATAGTAGTAATATAGTAGTAGTGGTAGTAGTAAATAATAATTACTAAAATGAAGAAAACAGATCAATAGTGAGAGGCGTTGTATGCATGTTGTGTTGTCAGAGAAACAATTGAGACCCTGCAATTGTGTGTAAATGAGGCAGAAAGTCAGATCATCAACCTGGGACTTGGTCACATATGGCAGCAGGGTCTACCATTAGAGAATACATTGTGCTTCCAATATCTTCGCAGGCTGTGTACCAGAAGTGTTAGTTCGTCTATGAGGGTGGTAGACTGTTTTTAATTCATGACTGGCCTTCGTTACCTAGCTTATAGGTTATTGGTACTCAGAAATATAGAGATAAGGTTGAGAAAAACACAAGGAACATGGAAACTGTTTTATTTGAGAAGGACACAGAGTGGCAGTCCGTGCCGCACCACCTTTGGCACCCTCATCGTGCCTCCTCAGGCTTGGCACCCCGACGCCCTCCACTACCACCACCGCTTCCACCACCACCGCACACCCTCCCTCACAACCAGCTCCACTATGTTCACACCACTATGTTATTCGTGTTATTTGTCCTCCAATGAGCGTGTCAGTGTGTAGTACTGTCCTACTAGGAATGGGACACAGCGGTGATGTTAATGGTGCGGGCGTGGAAGAAGGTGGCGTATGGCGGGGCCTGGGCGTGGCCTCATACGGCCTCGGGCGTGGTGTAGGACGCGGGGGTCCCTGAGGGCGGGGTTGACGGGTGACCTCCGGGGCCAACACAACATAACTAGCCCTTCCCTACTCCAAGGAGAAAGAAACGTGATATGTGGGGAAATGTACAAACAGGAGTGTAACAGTTTTAGGGTAAGGACTGTAGGGTAACAGACAGATGCGAGAGGGAATATTACAAACGTAAGAAAAGTATATTACCCACGGATAACATACAGACATTGTCGGTGGAAAGATGAGCATTTCTCCATACACTGTACACCTGTGGGAAGGAACTGTTTGGGGTCTGAAACAATGTACATGCCAGACCTCAGGGCCTTTGTGGGGTCCTCTGAGGTCTTCAGGGGGCTGAGTATTGACCTGCTGAGCCTGGAAGTGTGGGACTATTGTCATAGGAGTGACCGGGGGCTGTTCTGTGGTGGCCGGGAAGATGGGTGAAGACGTCAAACTGTGTCTCACTGTCACTGTCTACCGCCTGTCACACGCAATACCTCTTGTTATCCTTTAAATACCCAAGATAAACAATGTATTGACAAATGACGATCAAACAAGACTGTCAAGAATAAGGTAAAATGACCCATAAATTAATATTAACTGTAACTTAACTGACGGGAAACAATAACATGACCAACCATTACTCACACGGGGCTTTGGAAATTAAATCCTTATGACGTCTCACTAAAGAAGGTGTTAAACAAACTATGTATATCATAAACCTTGGAATTTATTGACCGCCGCCGCCGCTGAAACACATCAAGAACTCCGGTGAATCGTATTTCAGACAGCAGTGATGTGGGGCAGAAACCTAAAAGGGACGACCTCCTCAAACTCGATATTATCTATGAATAAAAAGTTCAGCGGTTCGACGTTCTGCATTGTTGTATAGAAGATGAATGACACCAGAATGTTGAATAATATTGAGTCGCATCAAAATAAAGATAAATAATTATGATCTCATCAGTGTCAAGACAGTTATCATCCTCAAGTGATAAGAGAACTATATAGGAATCTCCCACTTAAAGAGGTCCACTTTTTGTATGAGCCTAAACGACCTAGTGACAGTAACGGCTGGTTAGATTTAATATTGTTAGTAGAACTTGACCTAATTATTAACATTGAACTCGTTGCTGAAAGTGTCAAGACCATTAAGACAGTATGGTGACGGTAGAGGAGGAGACGGTGTCGTGTCTGGTCAGGGAAGTCGTAGTTTACTTACAACCACGACACTAATACCCACACCCAACCGTAGTTACCGACGGTGGACAGTACAGAGAACGAGTTTGTTCTTCACACTCAACCACACCGGACCATAAGCCACTACCGGAGGGGGGAAGGGGGGAGTAGTTTGGCACATCGGGACCAGAATGAGGTGGGGGAGGGGTGGGGGTGTAAAGAACCTGGGCTTGTGTTGGGGGGGGGGGTCCTCTCGAAAAATATAAAACAGAAGAACTGTCATACACTTTCGTGTCACATGGAAAGCCTTCTCGTCCACAGTAGTTTGATCAACCAAGGTGGAGGGGGAGGCAGGAGTGGACCATCGGACAGACTGGGAAAAGTACAAAGTAAAGTTGTGGAAAAAGGGGCGCGCTATGGTCCACTCCGCCCCCCGGACCATTAAATTAATACACTGATATGTACAAAGCACAATCATGTCATCGTAACCATTAAATACACTAACATGAAAAGCAACTATCATGACTACTATAGCCCTGATTTCCTTGTTAGACCTCTAGTACACAATGTTCCATTAGTCAAAAAAAAATCTTACCTTTGTAAATATAAACAACAGTTCCATTCTTTATTAAACACTTTCATGTACATAGAATTAGCCGCAAGATAGTGATGAACAGTCGTGCGTTTATTTACATACATCAGAACAAGATCCGCCTCTACGCCCCGGCATCACTTAGCGGAGGAGTGAGTCTTCCTGCTGCAGGAGGCCAAGAAGGGCAACTATACACGCAAGGGCACCGAAGGAGAGGGGGAGGAGGAAGGTAGGTGGGGCCGTCTCACCTCTGGAGGGACACTGGTTGCTTAAATGTTATAATATCTCCTCTTTGGATCTGACTTATTTCTCTTAAGATTATTATTATTATCAGCAACAATAAGGTTATAGTTTTACTACCTTCTCTGACATTGTCTTGGGTAGCTAAAACTGTGAAAAAAATAAGATATAGCTTTACAAATTAGAAGACATTCAAGCACGTTTCACCCCTCCAGGGAAAGCAACACATCTGGAGATTTTTTGTGAGAATCCATGACATGTCAGCCCCGTTGTAAGCAGCAGGGGCAGGGCGCTCACTGGGGAGGAGAGCGGCGACGTTCCACACCATTTTTCTCTAAGGCGTAGGGCGGGGACAACCTCACTCACACCACACACTCAACCAACCTCACACCTCACTCAGCCTCCTTAGAACCACTCCATCTGACGTAAGTGTGAGGCAGAGGGAGAGAAGACTCATGTTCATCTCAAACATCAAC